GAGCCTCGGTTTTCAATTCAGTTTCCTCTCTGTTTGTGTATGTAGGCATTTGATCTTCTAGGATTTCACCGTTTCTTTTGCAAGTTCCGTAGCTACATGCTTGTAGTTGGCGATTGATATCAATTTTCTCGAAATTTGATGCCATAGTCTTCACTTCTCTAATACTAACTTGTCTACTGTCGTGAACAATTGTTGATCTGTTTTTATAGTTCGAGTGGTGTTGTCGTTTATTGTGAAATTTCTCTACAGTCGGTCTGTCCAATTGCAGATTTGCATCATAGATTAACATATATTTGTGTAGGAAGTTAAAATCGAGGACAACTTTCTCGTTTATAAAACTATAACGAACCAGTCTACTCGAAGAAGCTGCAAGATTGTCTCAAAGTAGAGATTCAATCCTCCGATCTCTGATAGGTGGATGAATGACTTTGATCCCTCTTCTAGTTAAAGGTTCCTTTAACAAACCTCAAAACCTAAAATCTACCTCTGTAATAGGAATATCCATCACCCCCGACACTGTGGTTCGTGGCCACTGCTGTACATTGTACGGCACGATGAAAAGGAGCTTGTAATATAAACAATGACTTGAGTGCTTCGTTACTATGTGTAGTATCCAACTTTTTTGGTTTCTATTTCTTCTGACATCGAAGTTTTGCTCTGAATTACAGGAACGGCCAGATAATTGGAGGGACAACGCAATACATGGCCAACGTGTATTTGCTAAGGTGGCATCTGCAATTTCGGAGTTCGAATCTGTGACTATCTGTGCTAGTGGCGCCCAGGTATTTGTAGAAAAAAAAGCACACAATCTGTCGTCTCATAAGATTTACTCCCGTATCTTCTTTCAAGTGTTTAAAACTTTTCCTGTGTTACATTCCAGTGGGAAAATGCCCGTAGTCAGCTACCAGCAAATATCAGGGTTGTTGAGCTAGGAATGAATGACTGTTGGTTTCGTGATACTGGGCCCACTGTAGGTTTCTTCCTCTTCCAAATTTTTCTATCAACCTCAGTATGCTCTATAATTAGTAGTAATTCTGGTTATTGCATAGTTTTTTCCCTGACAATTTCCACCTATAGTTTGTTGTAAGAAAGAGAATGTCAAATTCTGGTACTTCAGTGGAAGGCAAAGCAGTAGCAGGAATTGATTGGAACTTCAATTGTTGGGGAGGTAAGGTGGTCGACACTTAAATCTCTCATGTACTATGTATGATTAAAGTACTAGTATACTTATATCTTTGTGTTATATTCCTGCTGACCTTGCGTTAAGTTCCATCGGACTCCTTATTAAAATGGATAACTCGTTTTTCTTTTGTTCTTTGAACCATGAGGGCTTCTCACACGATTGCCACGGTGCTCTTAATTTTTTTTTCTCTTTCTGACCAGTTAGAGAGATGCTTAGATTGGCAATTGCCCAAAGGCAGCTCCTCATTGAGGTGGCCATAGGTTTCTGGGCTATTTTACTAATTAACAGATTCAAGAGTAATGTGAATCCATTTGTTTTTTGCCCAATAGTTATCTCTATCCCATCATCAAGGTTCCCCTTCCTCTCCTCCCTCCCCATGAACAAAAAGAAAAGGGGGTAAAAAAGAAGAAAAAGAAAAAATGGGAATCTTTTACAGTTATACCTGGAGTAATAACCCATCATGATGAGTCGCTTGGGGAATTGAGCTCTCTTAGGGGGAGAAGTAGTACCTGTCGGGAATTCCCATCATTTGAATGTTTTTTTAACTGTCATCGCTGTTACTTTACCGAAGTGGAATATATCTCGGCCTTGGTTTTGTAGGTGTTGAGGATGGTTGTTACGTTGATTGGAGTCTTGATCTTCAAGTTGCAAGGAAGGTTAGTGTGTACTCCCACTATCTCTCTCCCTTCATGTTTCCTTATTGTTGATTATATTTTATTTGATCCCCTTTATGTTTTTGTGCAGATCCTGGATATTGAGAGGGTTCCTAGGTTTTTTAATAAATTTGTTCTCGAAGGTGGAAGCATCCATGTGGATGGAGAAGGTAACAAGAACTTGTAGTCAGCCTGTGTTGTCAAAATAATTTATTTTCTCATTCGTGCAAATATTATGACCTAATTTCAACTGCAAAGCAAGGAGGACTTTGCACCTTAGAAGAGAACCAGTCTTCAAATTAGGCACAATATCATGTCAAACTTGTGTCTGTCCTCTTTGCTGTAAATAAAGAAGCAATATACCATTTCTCAATCAATGGTCAGCTGGGAGCCACCCTTTCTCTTGGATATGGTGTAAGGTGTATTGTACAACCCCCTTCCCCTGCTTCCCTGCCCCCCTGCATACTGCACTATGAGAGAGAGATGCAGATACTTGTAGCTTACTGATAACCATGTTATGTTAAATTTGGTGAAAATAGCTATTTTTTCCCTTCAGGGACTTGTCTTACCACAGAGGAGTGCCTCTTGAATAAAAATAGAAATCCAGATTTGTCGAAGGGTCAGATAGAGGACGTACTTAAGGCATATCTTGGGGTGAAGAAGATCATTTGGCTGCCTCGTGGACTATATGGTACTTGATCTGCATTTTGTGCTTGGGATTAGCTCTGTAGTTTTAACAAATACTATTATTATATAAATCTTTACTTTAAGTTCATTTTGAAGTTTTTCATGATCATCAATTTTACTTATGTTTTTTTCCCTGTAAGTGGGGGTTGACGCTAGCGAGATTGGAATTTTATTTGTTCCTTTGGAGTGACATCTTTGCTTATTTATCCATTTAGTTGTTTATTTTCTCTTACTATCTTAAAAGGGTAAAGAATTCTTACTATCCATTTGTTTCCATTCGATTCCTTTCTATATTAACTACAAATGTTGACAGGTGATGATGATACAAACGGTCACATCGATAATATGTGCTGTTTTGTGAAGCCTGGAGTGGTTCTGTTGTCGTGGATTGATGATCAAACTGATCCTCAGTATGAAAGGTCTATAGAAGCATTTTCTGTTCTCTCAAAAGCTACTGATGCCAAAGGTAGGAAATTGGAAATAATAAAACTCCACGTGCCAGGGCCACTTTATTTGACAGATGAAGAGGCTGCAGGAATCGTCCAGGTGAAAGATTTGTCTTAAGTTTCTCTTTGTATATCTCTACCCAACAACAACAAAAAAAAAAACTCTTTGCATGTCATGTTAACTTCAAGGACAAAATTTTAAGGTGACCATCTGCTCCTCCCCTCTTTCTGTACATCTATTTCCCTCTTCAATGATTGTGTCTCTCATCTAAGAACCGAGAGCTTTAACGTGGCAAATATTGTGTTTGTAGCTCCTGTCATTCATGCCACACATTTTCTGTTTTGTTGGTTCACTTCTGTAGATTTATGCTTCAGCTTCCTAAGTATGCTATTAATTCTTCTTGTGAGGAAATCAAGTTTCAATTTTCAAGAATGTGGGCCTTTGTAACGCCCTCTCTCATGATGCTATTAGAGAAAAACATGAATAAAATATCTTTTCCAGTAGTTCTTTCATTTTATATCATTTCTTCATTTCCTCTATTATCTTCTTGTTAGGATTTCCATGTATAATATACGTTGCATGTGATATTTTTACTTCCATTCAAACGAGTAAAATGCTGGAAATGTACTCTTGACAATAGAACTTTCTTACAGCTTTTAATGTGGTGCGAATTAAGAAGCTCAAATCCTTAAATTATGCAAGAGTTAGAAGTAAAGTCACGAGGTGCTTGATCTTCCTCATCTTATTGCTGTTTTCCCCTTTGAGTAACAGGACGGTGAAGCTAAAGCAAGACCTCCCGGTTTGAGACTGGCTGCCTCTTATGTGAACTTCTACATTGCAAATGGAGCAATCATTGCCCCTCAATTTGGGGACCCGAAATGGGACGATGAAGCTATCCGTGCCCTAGCTGGAGCGTTTCCAAATCATAAAGTAATATATGATGCATTCAAATTATCTGATACATTTGCCATGTTAGACGAAACACATGAATGGATCAATTGTTGGAAAATTTCCTATCCATGCTTAAATATCTAAATATTTTTGGACTAGATAAATACTCTTAAACACACACTTGGTCTCATTATAGGGTATATAATTTGAATGTCATCTTGTAATTGTGGTTAGAGAAAGTAGTGGATACTGCAAGTAAAGATAGTTTAATTAGGTCATCGAGAACTGTTCTACATTGTTTTTTTGAGGGGTAGGAATTCTTGGATTAGAATAGAAAAATAAACTTCCATTTCCTTTTTATCCCGCAGCTCTCTTTCTATTTATCAATAGTGTTTATAACATGCACCACCATCACCAGAATTTACCATCTAATTTCTCTGTCCTCTATAATTTTCATTGTGAAAGTCATGAAATGGTGTTACCATCTTGAATATTTGACATCCTCTTTGAGACATTTCCATTTCTAACCAGTCCTTTGCAATGTGTGATTGTTTTCAGGTAGTGGGAATTGAAGGTGCTAGAGAGATTGTTTTGGGAGGGGGAAATATACACTGCATTACTCAACAGCAACCAGCAGTTACTCCTTGAATTTTTTTTCTTTATAAGAAACAAAATATGTGTATTCAAATCAAGACAGCCTCTAGAAGGGAAACAAACGAAAGGCGGAGGGTAGAGCTAACCCTCTCCAAAGTTCTATATACAATCACCGCTTTCCAATCTTGTGTAAGCAAAAGAAGATTGTAGTTACAAAAAACTTTCTTGTGTATTAAAGTCCACCTAGAAGCTAGATGCATAATATTCACACAAAAAGAATCTAACAAAATCAACTTATCTTCAAAAAGCCGACTATTCCGTTCCTTCCATATAGACCTTAAAAGAGTCCGGGCCGCACAATTCCGAAGAACCCAAGCTTTGTCCTTGAGCTGCCTTCCTCCATAATCTTCGCAATGAAATCCTCAATTCTTCTAGGAATGGAGAGGGAGAAATCTAGCAAAGAGGCTATAAACCCCCAAACTTTGGAAACAAAAGGGCAATGGAGAAATAGGTGGTCCAATGTTTTATTGTTGCTCATACACATTGTGCACACAGAGGGAGAAAGATTCCAGTGAGGTAATTTCCTCTAAAGTTTCTCTGCGGAATTTACCTCTTTATAGAACGAAGTCTAAATGAAGAATTTTACCTTCTTTGGGACTCTAAAATTCCATATTAAGTTTGCTGTAGTTGAATTAAGTTTAGGATAAGGGGACATGAGAGCCATGATGGCTGAATTGACAGTGAAACGGTCGGATGAGTCCGCTTTCCACCATAAAATGTCCCTTCCATTTTCGATAGTTGCACATTCTATTTTTTCAATGAAGTTTGCTCATCTACTCATTTCCCTTTCAAAGGGATTTCTTTTGAAACCAAGATTCCAGGTTGAGGCCTCTGCACAGCAACAATCCGCACTGAACAAACTTTTCTTGAAGGATAACGCAAACAAATTCGGGAAAGTGGTTGAAAGAGGGGTTGAATTAATCCATGGGTCCTCCCAAAATCTGACTTGGACAACTGAGGATACTTTGAAGAAGGAGAACTTTTGAAAGGCTTTAAGGTTCTCTTGTATGTCCCTCCATGGTCTTCCGATAGAAGAACCACCCAATAGTTTTGTCCACCATCCAAAAGACTCCACACCGTAGGATATCACCCGTCTCCAAAGGCTATCTCTTTCCATTGTGAACTGCCATAACTATTTCATTAATAGAGCATTGTTCCTTAGCCTCAAAGAACCAATTCCAAAGGCCCCCCTGTATATGAGGCAGAGCCGACCAAGACCACCTCACCAAATTTCCCACCGATCTAGAAATTCCACCATTCCATATGAAGTCTCACATAAGCTTCTCCATAGACTTTATGACTGTCTTTGGAGCTTTGAGAATCGAAAAGAAGTATATGGGGATGCTATTGAGGACCGACTGAGCAAGAGTAAGCCTACCACCCTTGGAAAGAGGCAAAGATCTCTATTTTTGGAGTCTTTTGTGCATGGTATATGTGCCAAATCCCATGGGCCTTGTTTACTTTTAGGCCCATTTATTTGTTTGTAAGGATGTTAATAGATGTCCAGAAATAGAGATGTCCGGCAATTTTAGATAAACATGTTTGTTTTTTTAAATAGACATGTTTGTTTTGTAGGAAAATGTGTAGTGATATATGAGAATATTTGAATAGCTAGGTTTGTTGGTAGGATTTGTACATGTGAATGTTAAAAAATTATATATTTGTTCCAAAAAAAGTGCAATATTTATGTAATTTATACATTAGTTTTAATATTTTTATTAATTTAAGTTTGTTTTTATTTTATATCCATTTAGTTTATATTAAATTTAAATTTTATTTTGTACATCACACTCATTTATATTAATTTGATATTGTTATAAAATATTTAATATTAACTATTAATTCCGCTTGAACATTTTTCTTTAAAAAGAAAATAATTACCTTTATGAGATTATATTTTTACATTATCAAATAAACAAAATTGAGGGAAAGATATTGGTTTGTAGGGAGATTATTTTACATATATAATTATTATCAATTTTAGGAGAATTTACCAAAATAAAAAATGGAGAAGTGAATATTATTTTGTTTGTAAATGTAATGTATAAATATTTATATACTTTTTTTTAAGAAATATTTATATGCTTGTATATAGTTGTTTATTAGTGAATGGGTACGTTGATTTATTTTAACTTTAAAATTGAATAATGAAAACTAAAGAAAATTGATGAAATAAAATATATGGAGAAAGAATGATGTGTAAAAATCTAATTAGAAGATACTTATGAGCGCATAAAAAATACCTCAAATGCCTCCTATATGGATATGTTAAGATACGTGAATATTATACAAAATGTGAAAATCCAGATGTCAGATGTTTATTCTATAGCAATCTTGGATTCTAGACTCATGGAAAATGTATTTAGGAGTGATGTGATGACACTCAATTATTTTTATTATTTCTTTTTTAAATTACTTACTTATCGTTATTAAAATATTAGGTTATGTGTAAAACTTGTAAAAACTACTTCAATTTAAAATAATAATATTTTACAATAATATAATTTCAAATATTTTATTAAATTTTTACAGAAAACTATTTAATCAGTCAAATATCATTTGTACAATCCTAGACAATAATACAGGAGCAAACAGCTGGTAACAGCAACCGAGTCAACTGATGCACAGCACAATTTTCTTCGTAAAGAGTAAAACTAACAGAGACGAAGAAGAGGTCTGATCACGCACACCTGCAAGCAGCAAACCCACATTTGAGAGATCTTCTAGAGTGTCCATCAATATACAAAAACACCGGAAGAAGTCGGTCTTAACCTAAATAAATGAAAGTCCATCTCAACTGCCCAACACAATTTATTTATTTGACAAATTCTTCTCGAGGGCATGCATTAAAATTCATTCAAAATAACCTATTTAATGACTGAATTGATACTTATAGCAGTTTTTGATTATTCGATAAATAATATGAAATATTTATTAAACGACCAAAAAAAAAACAAAACAAACAAAATGTTGTCGGTAAAGAGTAATTTTCTTTGTTCAAATTAGTCGGTAAGTGATTTTTTTTTCTCTCGTTTATCTTAATAGATGTCATCACACCATTTAATAAATTACATGAAGCTGTGTCGAATTACTCTACAGATAAAAATAAAATAAAATTGGTGGAATTTTCGTAGAAATAGAGAGAAAATCGAATGATTATGTCAGTGGTGGTGATTTTTAAAATCTTATTTTATTATTATTTATATACAAATTAAAATAGGTCGAAACTATAATGATAGAAAAGGATTGATTTCTAAAATTATAATAAACAAATTAAAATCAAATAAAAACAAAAAAAAAAGATCAAATGGATAGTTTATTGTGATATATATATATATATATATATATATATATTTGATAAAGAGATTGTGATATTGTAATGAATGTCAACATCTTACTTTTATATAAATTCTCAAATTCAGCCTTAACTAAAAGCATTAATTACATTTCTTACAAGTCAAATTTATTTTCGGACATTTTTTTAATAAATAAATATAAATTTCACACACAGATATTAGATATATTATATATAGTAAATACGTTAATCTAGTTAATTTGTAACTGTCTTTTTAATATATAATTATTAATTAGTACTCTGCTAACTCAGATATGGAATTCAGTTCAAATCACAAAGCTCCGTTTCTCATGAATTCAGGAGTTCCAGATCTCACTTCGGAAATCTGATTTTGTCATTTCTTGATTCAGAGGCGGGAAATTCGAGACCGCGGTAAGATCTATATGCATTCTTGAAGATAGTTCAGATTGAACAAGAGATGGGCTGCACATTTTCTGGATTGAATGCTTTCTACGACGCCGTGAACAGCGGTGGAGATGTTTGGATCAACGAGAACAGGTTCAAGATCGTGAGGCAGCTCGGTGAAGGTGGCTTTGCTTATGTCTTCCTCGTCAAGGAGGTGCTCGCTGATTCGTCTTCCAACGCTGTTCCCGGTGGTTTGCGCAAGAAATTCAAGGACTCCACTCATCTATCTGGTTTCAACTTTCTCTCCCTCTCAATTGCACACATTTGTCTTATTCGTTTCTTGTTGTTGTTGTGCTGGCTGATTACGGACTTTCTGATCCGCGAAGTATAAACTCGCATCTACACCGATTTATTGATTATCAGCAAAATAATGTAGCTATTTGCATGATTTGGCTCGATTAGATTTTGATTCTGAATCTACGTCGCTGATTTTTATTAATCCGTTAAGAATTTCGTACGGTCAACACGGTAGTATTCTGGGGGATGTGAATCTATCATAGAAATTTCCTCTTGACGATTTCAAATTTAGTTATTGATATGATCACCTCGGCATTATTTGTAAAATTTGCTGTTGTTTTTGTTCCTGTTCTTTTATTTTTATTCTTGTCTGTCTCATTATTATGAGTTGCAAGTGTTACCGTAAGTTGTAATTCGACTCTCAAAGTATTATTTTCTCCTCAATAAAATTATAGGCTGCTCTCATTTCGCCCTCCGCTACATTTGGATGCACAAGCATGTGTCTTTGGATTGAATGTACTGCAGCGTCTAATGACTTTTGGCTAAGAAAATTGGGTTCCTTGCTCAATTCCATGTTAATTCTTAGATAATTTAGAAGAAAATAATTAATTTACTTCTAGTATTTATGGTGATGTTTTAATATATTTAGTCCTGTGCTCGCGAAGAAATGTATGCTACTGTACATGTGCTTTACGATGAAGACTATTCACTTGCTTTCTCTCTTTCCAAATGTGGATCTGCTTTATCTAGGAATGCCTTCAGCTAAGAAAATTGGGTTTTGTTCTGATCTCTGCATGATTAATTTATAGATAATCAATCATGTCTTCATTTTTAGTTTTTACCTACATCTTAACAATTTATGAGAAATAACGGATAAAATAATTTATATTAACAATCTTTCTTGACCAAGATTTAAAGATTTATGTCTTCTAGGATAGAAGTGTCAAATGTGCAAAATTTCGTTTCAAAAGTGGCATTCTAGTGCTTTCCAGGCAAGTCAGCCTACTAAAAACTAAGTTTTGTTGCCTTATTTGCACAGATGATGGTTCATACGCTTTGAAAAAGGTGCTCATTCAGAATAATGAGCAACTGGAATTGGTGAAAGAGGAGATCCGGGTTTCATCTCTGTTCAGTCATCCCAATCTACTTCCTCTTCTTGATCATGCTGTAATAGCTACTAAGGTGACTGTTAAGGCCTACGACCTAATAAAAAAGAATTTGCTTCTAGTAAAAATTGTCACCATGATGTTCGATTGACATCCTCATTTTCACCCAGCTTCATGTGATCAACCTCGTTTCTCCTCTCTTAAAACAAATTTCATATGAGCATACAACTCCAAATTTCTTGCATATATTCTGAATATTATTTAGAATAAATGGGATAGATAAAATTTCTTGGCTTGAAAATGCAATTTATCCTTGGTGTACCCCTTTTTACATTTTCAGCCAAACGAGGGTTTATGGTTCTATCTCCATTTTTTTATTTGTCAGGAGCCTAAATGAAATGTCAGGTGGCAGTGTACACTATTTGTGGTTATCTCTGCTATTTTGTGTCTTACTCTTTGTATACCTTATACATGTTCATAAAATTCAAATACTAGCTGTTAATGGAGTATTTACCATTTTTTTAATCATTGGCTAGCCTACCCCAGAACGATCTTGGAACCATGAAGCATACTTGCTATTTCCAGTACATTTGGACGGGACATTATTGGACAATGCCAAAACCATGAAAGCAAAAAAGGAGTTCTTCTCAACGGCAGATGTTCTGCATATATTTCGACAGGTAATTGGAGTTTGTACCTTCTGACAGAATTCTTCTTCAAATAATTTCTTATCTCATTAAACTTTTTTAGGGATTTTTTTTGTTGCATTAGTTCATTCCAGAATGTGGCTCTTGTCGTGGGGTTCATCTGTTTTCTGCAGGACATAATGAACGGTCCTATCCTATCTCAAATTTCCATTGGCTGTTTCTTCTTCTTCCCCCTTTTAAAACCAAAAGAGTCTTTGGTATCATGTGTGCTTTGCAAAATCTTGTTCCATTACTGATTGAATTTAACACAGCTATGTGCGGGTCTCAAGCACATGCACAATTTTGATCCCCCATATGCACACAATGACATCAAGCCTGGTAATGTTCTCATAACCCGTAGAAAGGGCCAACCACCTCTTGCTATATTGATGGATTTTGGAAGTGCTCGACATGCAAGGAGGCAAATTCGCTCTCGTTCAGAGGCACTGCAGTTACAGGTTTCCTCTCTCACTGTTCTTCCTTCAGCTCTCCACAATTCAGCCGTATCAATTTGCACTGCTGCCACAAGAAACTTTGCAGATAAACGGGAACATTAATCTTTTAAACTTAACTCTTTAGTTAAGTTAAGAATAAACATACATGAGCTAAATTCTCATTTAATCATATCAGAATTTACTGTGTAGGAATGGGCATCTGAACATTGTTCTGCTCCTTTCCGGGCTCCTGAGTTGTGGGATTGTGCAAGCCAGGCGGATGTTGACGAAAGAACTGACATTTGGTCGTTAGGATGCACTCTGTATGCAATAATGTGAGCACCAATTATTTGCTCTGAAATCATGGTCATTTTGTTGATCTTTGGAACTGTATGCACGCATAGCAACTTATGGTAAATTCCTATCGCGCATGCTGCAGCACTAGGACCTGTGTGCTGCTCTATGTCAACCCGTCCTATTTTTGCTCCCTTTTATTCTCCCTGTCATTTACACTAGAAAAAATTTGGAGATGGCAGTTGGGTCAATAGAAGACTAAAGCACGGGTGTAAATTGAAGTGCCTTAGTTTGATTTAATTTTTTTTTATAATGAAGTATATTTTTTCTGCCATGATACCCTATCAAACTTTCTGTCTCTATTTTTTATTTTTAATATCTATGATTTTCATAACAGCTTTACTCAACCATGTTTGATATTTTTTAGATTTAGATGGTGACTTTTGTGAACATATTCGGCATGTTATAACCATTGTCAGACTCATAACTCATGAATATATATCATAGGTATGGAGTATCTCCATTTGAATATGCGCTTGGTGAATCTGGAGGAAGCTTACAGTTAGCGATTGTTAATGTACAAATCAAGTGGCCAGCTGGACCAACTCCTCCTTATCCAGATGCACTGCACCAGTTTGTCAAGTGGATGCTTCAGCCACAGGCTGCAGTCCGTCCTCGCATTGATGATATTGTAATTCACGTTGACAAGCTTGTCTCAAAGTTCTCTAATTGAGATATAATGGAAATGAGGCAAACATTGGATCATTATTATCACTTGGAGTTATATTACATTGACCCATCTGGCTATTCATGGCTGTCACTTGGCATTACTAGCTGTGGAAATAAAGCAGGAGCTGTTCTTATTCCAGTGTTATACAGTTATATCGTCATAGTTTTGGCAATTAGAAATTGTTTAATGTTCTTTGACTATCCATGGGAATCATATAGTTTTACGTTTTTGTAATTTATACAACTACAAATTGTTTTCAGCTTCTTGAATATAGTTGTAGAAAGTGCACCATTGTGCTACCCATATAATTTATGTTTCTAGAAGCATATGTTTATGTCCAAGAGTTTCCTGAAACTAATAATGTTACTCAACATTAAATTATGCTATTCTTGAATGTATATTACTTGAACTTTCATGATATAATATTCAGTTGTTTAGCAAGTATTCTTTCTTCAACTTTGCAATTCATGAAATTTGGAGACAGGTCATTTGTAGTACCACCAGTCAGGCATCATGCTTACACAATACACACTGAGATCCCATATACTTGATTTTGTCTTTAATGGATTGATGATGTTCAGGTCTCCCTTGAGATTTCAGGTGTGTTTTTCAAGGAGAAGATATTTGATCAAAAGCTTTGAGAATCCGCTGAGAAGAATTGGAATATTTACACATTAGAGAAAAGCATCGATTCCTTGGAATTTAGACAGAATTGCAACAAGATCAAGTGGGTAAAATATACTTTTCTGTTTTGCTTTATTTCCTGACACATTTATTGCATCTTGCAAATAATTTGGGTTCTAAAGAAAAGGGAGGTGATTTCTTCTGATAATATTGATCTGACCAATCTACAGTTGCAGTGCTACTGTATATATGGGAATCAAAAAAGGGAATTAATTCTCCACTTCGTAGCCGCCCCCGTGCTCTTGATACTATGTTTTCACGGACTCTTACTAGTCATCCACTGCATACTTCTCTATTTTTATTAGTTTACACTTTGACATTCATATAAAGAAAAAGGATATTTTAAACAACTATTTGCAATTCTAGACATGCTTTTCGGTTACACAACTTTGAAGAATATTGTTAACATTAAGGTGAATAAGAAGTGAAAATACAGCATTCATAAATTTTAGTTTCTGTTGAGAATTCTGTTGGAATCTAACGAAATTCTGATCAATATTTAAGTTGAATAATATCACTATCTTATAGCATCGTTTTCAATTTCCATAGTTGGATATTTAGATATAAAATGAGGTGAATCCCATTTTACCAGAACAAAGCAAGGGAGAGATGACAGTTATATGGAAAGAGTTCTTGCAATGGAATTCTCCTGTCCCGTACATCTTTGGAGGCTTTGCTATTGTTTTTGGAATCACCTCTGCTGTTCTTTTTATCATTGCCTGTTCTCATCACATGCGGATGCTAAATTCTACCATCAACAGCGACGAAGAGAAGGCAGGCACAAACACAGGCAGCAAGCAGTTTGATGCTGCTCTAAGTATAGCTGTGATCATGGCTGGGGATGATCATCCCAGGTACATGGCAAAGCCCGTCTCTTTTGTTCGGAATTAGTCAGCGAGCGGAGAAAAGAAAGTAGAAACTGTTTGGTTAGAGATAAATTCTTAGAGAAATGTAAAGTATCATAAAGAGGAGTTAAATTGTCAACTGAGCTCTTACTAAGTGAAATTTTCTTCGAGGTTTGTTGAACTAAGCTAATTTTGATTAAAAAAGTTTTCTTCTTTAGGATAAGTTCATCTCTCTTGTTTGAAAATCATATTTTACATCACAGCATGGGGCATGGAAAAATTTCACTTACAAAACCTGAAATCATATAGTAACTGTAATTTACAGAGAAACACATAGGAACCCAGGAAGTAACTTGTGTCAGACAAAC